GTCATTTAAAATATTAAATATTGATGAAATTGTAACTGTGCTATACATGAGTAACAATGAGTAACATTGTTACATGAGTAACAATGGAGTGAATGTATTCAATGAATTCTTTAAACTCTGAAACAAGATGAAAGCATGTCAATGGAATAGGTACTTTTTCCTTGCAGTTTCCTTTGTCTAGCACATATTTTCCCCACTTTCTATTTATTAAATCCTATTTGTCTTTTAATAACAACCTGAATGCCACAAGTCTGGGATATCTTCTTGCCTCACTCAGAACTGAGTTAACGGAACCTCCTAAAGTGCGCAAGCGCTTGTCTTTGATACAAGCAGTGTTTTCAGCTGAGTGATTACCAACCTGGAAATAATAATGTAGTAAAATATTCTTGAGTACATACTTGGTAAAAACCAATAATCAAAAATAAGTGAGGCCCTACTGTAATGTAGGCCAATGTCTGACCCTGGTTACATTGGGGTAAAAAGAGGTAGGGTGATAAATTGTCCATCATCTAAAGTTGTGGTTTTCCAACATTATGTGTTTATCAACACCTAGGAGACCTCAGCAAAACACAGACTGCTGGGCCATATCTCAAGTGTCTGATTTAGTAGATCTAGGATGGGGTAAAAAACTGCATTCTTATAGGATCCTGAGCACAGTCCAGGAACTGTGCTTCAAGAACCACTGGTCATAGGAAGGGAGGGCAGAGACTTGAATGCTTCACCTCTTATTCTTAACTATCTGCAATTTAGTGCAGTCACTCTTGACAATTCCAGCTCTTCCCTCCACCCCATAATCCTTAGTAGCCCTGTGATCTGAATTGGGGACTGTCTTCTCTTAGATGGGCCTATTCACCAACAAATCCCAGTATTACTCATAGTATTATCCAAATATCCATAGTATTACCCAAGCCATAGCATTACTCCAGTTACCCAAAGTATTATCCCAAGCATAGTATTACCAAAGTCAACATCCTGAATCAGTGCTGCTGCACAGTTAGAACACAATTGTGACTATAATCCTTAATATACCATAAGTTTAAATTTCAACAGGTATTTCTTAACATATACTGATACACAGCATGTAAGTTAAAAAAATTCAAACCATGATTACAGAATTAATCCTAAGCTCCAAGGTTGTTATATTAGCAGCAAAAAGAAAACAGGGTTCTTTGACCATTTATAAGTCCCAGTTATGGGGTCAGTTATTGTCCTGTTACAATGCCTCTAACTTTAACATGTGTCTGTATATGCATATTATATATGTGTTTCTTAGGTCAAAGTATAACCCATGTGCTAACAGCATTTGATCAAGGCTTCAGAGTCCAGTAATAGCATATTAGTAGCCTAGTTAAGGTGCACTATCAGGACCACAAAGATGAAGGGGGAAAGAAGGAGGTTTCCAATATTTTAATCAGGAACCCATAGTAGAGGCAGTAATTTAAAGTGCTTCTGTTAGTTACTCATAGGTCAGTCAACAATAGGCATATTGCTAGCCAATTCTCTAAATTGGGGTAATAGCAACATAGACCTCCAATTATTTCTGCAAAGCACTTTGCCGTACAGTATCTGGCCATATTAAAAGAAAAATAACCAGGCTCACAAGGTAATAAGCATATATGATTGAAAACCAGCAGAAACACTAGGCAATAGAAACATGCATTGGGCTCCATATTGGAGTTGTTAGGAAGACTTAAAAATAGCTAGCTTATTAGTTCCTAAGAAATCATTAAAATGACAATTTTCATCAAAGAAATAAAATGGAAATTTTAACACTAGATGTTATAATATTTGAAATGAAGAACTCAAAGGGTGGGATTTAACAGTATATTAGTCACAAACAGAAGTTAAATAACCCAGAAGGATCGGTTACAAGAAACTTTTCAGAATTAAGTCATGGAGGATAAAACAAGAGGAAAGGTGTGAGACACAGGGGCTACAGTGGCAAGGATTAACATATATGTGATTCCAGTCTCAGAAAAAGATGAGAGAGGAAATGTGTAAAATAATTGAAGTGAAATGACTGAGAATGTCCCCAAAACTGACGAAAGTCAACATGGCACAAATTCAAGAAACATTAAAGCTTGAGCACAATAAATGAAACAGTGTCATGTCCGAGCACATTAACATGAAACAGCAGAAAACTAAAGATGAGAAGGAAAATATTAAAGGCAAATAAAGAAAATAGAAAAAATACTTTTAGAGATGCAATGATGATAACAGATGGATTCTAGATTCCAGTGGAGACTGGAAGACAATGAAATGATAGCTTTAAAGTTTTTAAAATAAAGTCATTGCTATCCAAATACTATAGTCAGCAAAATTATCCTCCAATAGGAGGTAAAGTAAATCTTGTCAGCAAATACAAATTTATAGATTTTGTCAGCAGTAAGTTCATATTCAAGGAACTAGTAAGTGGTGTTCTTCAGACAGAGGGAATGCAATCTCATGGGAAGTCAGAACTGGATGCAGCAAAAATGAGATATATGGAAGGATTAAACAAATATTGCTTGCATAAAACAACAATATTAATAGAATAAAATTTATGAATACATAGATACATAGTATAGTATATACAACTCAAGTAAGTTGAATAGAAAAATAATCCATAGTCACAGGAGAAATCACAGAGAATTTTATAAATATTTTGACAGAAAATATAATATTGTATATAACAACTTGTGAGGTGCAATTAAATCTTGATTACAAAGAGGATTTAGAATTTTGAATGTGTAAGTGTAGACAAGTTGAAAATAAACAAGTAACTATCTGTGGGTGTTATAAATAGAAGAGCAAATTATAAGGAACAGAAGAAAGGGAATAATTAAAGATCAAAATTTATTAAATACAAAAAAATACAACTGAGAGGTCAATACATCCCTCATTTTATTCTTAGTCAAGGATTTGTAAATTTCATTGCCCTCTGGAAAAACTGAACAGGAAATGACATAGGTGTAAAATGGAAGCCTGTTCATCTCCTCAGATCCTATAAATGTTAGAAGCATATCAGAGTATGCTACAAATAACTTTATACTAGAAAACTAGCACAAATTTCTGGACAACTATAATATAATAAATAGACCCAAGAAAAAAATTGAAAATGTGATTTAAATGTGATCTGTCCTATAATTCTTAATTCAATTGAATCTCCAGACCTAGATGGGTTCCCAATTAAAAAAAATAAGATTACTTCTATATAAACTTTTCTAGAGTAGGGGGAAAAGCAAGAATGCCTTTTATATGGGGCCAACATATTGTTGATTCTGAAAATTTTGAGGATATTTTAGGGGAGAAATATTTGAGGCCAGCCTCTCATAGAGTCGAAAATAAGAGACATGAACTGTGCTCCACCAAAGAGAATATCCAAACAGCATATTAAAATATGTTCAGTCTTATTTCAGGGATAATATAAACTCAAAATGTGATGAGATCCACATTCTCCAGAGTGGTCCTAATTAAAAAGATTGAAAATACCAAACATTGACAAGATTGTGGAAAACTGGAACACTTATTCATTGTAAGTAAATTGGTCATTACATATAATGTTGAAGCATATTCTCTAATCCAGAAATTCTACTCCTAGGTATATGAACCTAGGTATATGAGTGAATTAGGAGACATTTATATAACAGAAGGCCGATAACATTACTTGTAATAACCCCACATTGAAAATATTCCAAATGTCTGTAGAGAGGAATCTACAAATGAATGGTCATGTATTCCTATCAAAGAATACAGCAGAGAAAATGCAAGCCCCTCTGTTTTTTTCTAATCTAAGTTGGAAGTCATGAAGTACTGTGTTTGTGATGAGGGGACATACATTCTTCTTACTGTTTTTAAACTATCATGTGGTTACATAGGTGTTCCCTCATTAATTAATCCTTTAACTGTCTAATTTTCCTTTGTAGATTTTCTGGATATGTGTTATTTTTGCAATCTGAAAGGCTAAAAAATAAAAACTATCTCCCAGAGTGGTGAGGGACATTGTTATTCTTACTGCTTTTGGTTCCTTACTACCCTTTAAAGCTTGTCTTTCGTTCTGGACAACCTACCCCTACCTCCTTGTTGATGTCAATCTTCCTCTCAAAGCTTTCTCACAAGAATGCTGAGATCCAACTACACTTTTTTCAAAATCCCTGTGGAAGATAAGATAATGGCACTCCAAAAAGGTCCACATCCTAATCCCCAGAACCTGAGACTTTATTACCTTACATGACAAAAGGGGTTTTGCAGATAAAATTAAGAGTCTTGAAGTGGTGATACTATCTGGATTATCCAGGTGAGCCAAAGTATACCAGGAGGGTTAGAGTGAGTGTCAGAGAAGGAGATATAAGGCAGAGGTTGGAGTGTACCATGGGGGAAAGTGGCACAAGCCAAGGATTGCAGGTAGCCTCTAAAAGTTGAAAAAGGCAAGGAAATCATTTTTTTCCTCAGTCTTTAGAAAGGGCCAGTCAGCTAACACCCGTAGTTTAGTCCTCATAAGACCCATTTGCAGACTGCTGACCTTCAGAACTGAAAGAAAATAGATTTGTGTTGTTTTAAGTTACCAGTTTTGTGGCAATTTGTCACAGCAGCAACAGAAATCTAATAAAATCCCTTCCTTATTTTTTACTGTGACCTTTCCTATGTGATTTGGTTCTACTCAAAACACTTCCTAAGGCCAACTCTAATAAATCCTACCCAGTGTTAGAGACCTAGTTTAGATGCTCACTTTTCCCTGAAATCTTATCACAGCAGAAGTAATTTGTACTCCTCTAAGATGCCAGGACACATTAATAGCACAAGTAGTCCATGAATCATATATTTCTGCAAGTCATTTGAGACTGAGCTTCTCCACCCTCTTGGTCTAGTTTCCTGTTCAGGGATCCTACACATTTGAGGCATGCACACTTGTTGAGTGCATGTGCAACTAACAAAATAGTATTGTAAAGTATTTTAAATACTTCTAGTAACAATTCATTAACTAGTTGATATTCTATATGAAAATATAAAAGTAAACATACATTTGCAACTTCATATGGTCCATTTAATATCTGTTCCATGTAATGGTTTAGATCTCTGAATCTTTTATGATCTGAATTTGTAAAAGGTAAGTGCCACCAATGAGGAAACCTGTTTTAAGAGAAAACAAAAAGTATGTCTTCGTTAGTTTGAAAATTTGTATCTGCATGTGAGGATTGCATATGAACTTACAGCTGCATCAGATGAAAGGGCCAATGAAAATATTTTTGAAAACCACATATAACACAAGATTAATTGTGAGAGTTTCATTACATGGTTATGGTCACTTGTGATATTTTAACTGTCATTGATTTTCATGCTAATTTAATTTAACATATTAAATTAATATATATCCTCCTCTTACTGTACTAGTGGCAGACCACACATTTTGTCTTTTAAATACATGCGGGGGGTTTAATGAATACTGTCTGAAGTTAATGATTCATAATTTTCCAAGAAGGTCAGATTGTATTGCTTTTTCTGGATTCACTAGAGACATTTTTACACTAACCATATTAAACATTTTACCAAGTGACAAATGCTTTCATCTGGTCTAAGTCTTTTGGAACAAAGTAGCAATTTCCCAGGGAGTGTGACTTCCAGAACTTTCTCTGTCCTAGCTAATGATTCATCTTGATGGGCTAGATGTGAAGACAAATCATTGAGTGGGATGATCTGTTAATGACTAGCATTTGACAATACATGCTATGGCTCTGATAAGATGGTTAAATACGTCCTATCAAGAACTCATAGTGACATTTCCTGCCTAGCTTCTTGTTACTACTTCCTTCATACTTCTGCATCTTTCGTGAGACCTTTCCCTGGAGAAAGGTACATAGGGAGCAGTGAAATGTTGCCAGGAAACACACTCAAGTATGTGACAACTATAGGCCACCCATCCACTAATTCTTGTTGGAGATGTCAGGGAAGTTCAAAATTGTGTGCTTTTTATATGTAAATAATTGACATGCTATTTTAAAAGGTGTTTTGCTACTCTAAGGCTTAAAGTATTACACTTTTTATCCATACTTAGTTATTATAAAATAACAAATTATAAAACTTACTAATTATAAAAATTAGTACCATACACAATTAGTCAAAACATATACAAGCATTTGATAAAATAATGGATTGGGCTGGGCTGGTTTAAAATATTAATTTGTATATCTTTGGATTAATTTTCTTACTGATAGAATAAAATGGTGTTCGATGTCGATGCTATTCCCTAGTTATTTTTTACATGATGTACTACAATTTTTTTTTCTTAAAAGTAAGTACATAAGAATTGAGGAATTCAGCTATAGTCAAATCATTCAATTGTTGGAAATGTTTTCAGAGTTACATGTAAATATAGCATAGCAATTATTTCTTTAAAATTATTATGAATGATCTTTTATCTGACAATTCCATCATGTCCTCCCTCAATTTTGTTCACAACAAAGACTTTGAAACACCTGACTTGCAAACAAATTTGATACCTGCTTAGTAGAGGAATTCATTTTCTCAATACCAAAACAACTAATTTGATTTGTGCTTTTGTCTGATCCTTGGTTTTTCACTCATTGGGACAATGTACCAATATAAGATTCTGGATGGTTGGAAGAAGAGCAATGGTGAAAGTAAAGAAAGACAGGAAATCGACCTTCTCAAGCCGGTTAATTTTTTAAGGATCATTAATTTTAAGGAAGATTTTCATGCCTGTGTTATCTTGGAAGGTACTTTGAGGAACAAATAGCTCAAAAATGAAGACCACTGTTATGTACTGTTGCTAAATGGAATTTTACTCTTTGTGTTATATTTTCCAGATGGAGTTTACATCAACCTCACAGCACTTCTCTCTCAGTAAATTTAGGAGTCAGAGGAAATCTTGCCCTTATCCTTCATTTATATGCATTGCTGTAAACCATAGTTCCTTTGGGAATGTCAGCATACAGATACTGTTGAGGGCACATAGGATTAAATGTTCCTCCCTTTTACACACTGCTTGAATCCCTTTAAAATCAACGTAGGTACCATTACCAGGCAGCAATTGTTGAGCAAAGCAGAATCCTAATTAAAGCTGAGAATCTAGAGAAATGTGTATATGGAAAGAGGTATCAACATTTTTAATGTTTTACAAGTTTTGTTTATATTAGAAATATAAAAGTAGAAAAAGGAGGTTTTTTGAAAGCCAGAGGACATTTAACAAGGATTAATTTATACTTTTAAATCATTAATTAGTATGGTATGATGGCAGTCACTAATGTTGAACTCAATATTTGCAGGCAAACCTTGAATTTCTTTTTTGTCATGCTAGTGGGTTGTTGTTTTTTTTTTTGGCAACTCTTAAAGCTGATGATTCTTTTAAAGGTCTCACAGCAATATTCCTCCTAGCTCACTCTCTTGAGCATGCAATTACTTGTTGAATTCTCAGTGTTTACATCATCTGTATTACAATGTCTCTGTGACACCTAGATTTTCATCAATGTGAACTGCTACTGACTAATATTCATATTTCACAGCAAACGCAATCCATTCATAACTTTGCCTTGTTTATGTTTGGAAAATGACTAAATCCTGAAAGTCTAGCAAAAACTCACAAATAAAACATTTCAAGTTAGGTAAGGACATTCGCCTTATTAACGGACCATCTATTTACCAAAAATCCTAAGATAGATACAGTAACAAGTGCGATATCACAATTTCTGGGAAGATCACCTTTGTAAGTCAAGATAAACACTTGTTCACTAAAGTCTGTGACCTGAATTTGACTTGTTCTGTGTGATGAATTTTGGAAGGATTACTTGAACTGAAGTTATTTTCACTGTATATTTAGTTCTCTTATGTTTAATATTTTTTCCATTATAAAATGAAAGAAAGCAATGGCTTTTAAGATTGCTTCAGAATGAATGTAACAAATTAAATTTATATAATGCAAATCAAAGTTAATAATGACAATGACAGGGATTTGAATAACTAATTTTACTAAAGTACTAATTGATGATAATAAATTTAATGTTTCTCAGGGACTGCAAATAAACATATCAGCTTTTTATTGCAGTTATATGCCAAAAAATCGATTTATTTGATTTTGTGCTATATTTTCAATTTCACTTTTTTTTAATAGAAAAAAACTAAAAAATTTAAACAGGCAAAGAAAATAATTAGCTGATAACTGGTAAAAAATGAAATCAGTTCTGAATTCTTTTCTGCCCATAATATCAATGTCTAGAAGCAAACAGAAAGTTGCAAAACTCATTTTAAGTGATGAAAGGTTCCTTACTCCCACAGCAATATAGACTTTGCTGGAATAGGTTCAGTGGCTTTGGAGTCAGAATGCTGTGTTGCACACAATTAGAAATCCCATAACCCTAATTTTCCCTTATGTTCAAGGAGGAGGACAGTGTCTTACTCTGGGAGAATCAAAGATGCAAACTGCTTCTGAAGGTGGCTGTGAAGTTTTGAAAACTGGTCAAATGATTTTTCTGTCAAACTTCTTTCATTGTTGCTGTGTGTCACCTGGATAAGATATAGCTGCAGAAAATAAATAGACACAAATCAAAAGATGTCATTATCAACCTGTGATATGTTCTAAAGTCTGGTTTCATGTAAAATAAACAAATCAATAACCTTTCTGCTAAAAAATTATCACAAAACTAAGAGATGCAATTTGGAAAGGCAAAAATTGCTTATAAACACAGTAACATACACCATAATCTTAAGTACTGGGAACAGACTGCCTACTCTCTACGGTATTGTTAGAGTTTTTTTTTTTATATATATATATACTTTTATTAGCTCTGGATTTATATTCTACCATAGGGCAGGAACTGTTTCTTTGATGTGGTTGTTACGATTTTTCCCTAGAATATTGTACTCAATGGCACTTCTGCTCAAACTGTAACTGAATTTTCATTTGCATTGTAAAAAAAAAAAAATGATGGTACAAGGAAGGAGGTGTAGCACAGTGAAGGGAATCTGAGGTAACTCAAATGATATTTAAGTCAAGATGACAACTGGAGACTTACATTACTGGTTTTCTTGCTGAGCCCTAAAATTGTTGCTCTTAGAATTGACCTTGTTGCACTCGGCGAAAAGGATTCCTGGGGAAAGGTCTGTGAAGTAGATTTGGCATGGCTTATGGCTGACATTTGTGCCAGTATGTGGATCAAATTGTTTAATTTAACAGGGAAACACTCCAGGCTTTCCTTTATCTTCCTAGAAAAAAGAAAAAGAAGAGACAGTGAGTAATTTTCCTCAGAGTTGACTCATTTCATTTATGATTTATTTCTTTGTGTTTGTTAGGTATGGGTAAAAAGCAACAACCATGTATGTTTCTTTGGAACCCAACTAGTAAATATTATTTTTATAAACTTGAAGTTCACATCTTGAGATGTTAGCAAATGTATGCTTATTCTACTTTTTATATATGCTTCCTGTTCCACTCCAATTCCATCTAAAACCATTCTACTTACATCATAGAGTGTATATACCATGATGCATATAACATACACACATATAATCTCTCTAACTATTAAATCTTAAAAACTCTCTAAAATTCTTTATATGCACATCTCTGAAAGTCATTTTGATTATGTGAAGCTCATTCTTTAGTAAATTCCTCAGACACTGCGCAAGGAAGTATGTTTCGGAGTTTCTGCATGTTGACGTTTGTGGCCTGTACATTTGAAAGTCAGTTTGGCTGTATATTATGTCCTTGGCTCACATTTTCTCTTTTTTGAGAGCCATAAAGATATTCTATTTTCTTCTGAAATAAAGTACTACTGTCCCAAACTCTGATAACATAATGAACTTTTCACATTAAATGACTGGGTCTGGTCTTTTGGCCTAGATGCTTAAAGGAAGTTTCTTCTTCAGAGTTCAATAGCTTTTCTAAACTATGTTTCAGGTTGCTCATTCTGGGAATTTTTCTGAATATGCATTATGTCCTTTTAGTATGTAATTTCAAGATAATATTTCAGGATACTTCTTAAATTATGATGTTAGTATTAATTAAAACCCCAAATATGTAATTACATTTGAAATCATTTTAATGTATTATTTTGGTTTACTTTTCCATATAGTATGCTGGATCTTCATTGTTTTTCTTCATTTTTTATTTTAAATTAAGAAGTCCTCCTTTTCTTTTTTTTATTTTTTATATTCCCCATACAATTACAACCCCCTTATTTTGACCCCATCCCTTCTTTCCCCGTACCCCACCCCCCATAGAGTGTCTCTGGTTCATAGTTGTTTGTTGATTTTGATATTTTCTTTCTTATATTTATTCTTTTTCCTGTCCCTTATTTAAGTTTTCTAGATTCCTGCTATGAGTGAGACCATCCGGTATTTTTCTTTTTCTTTCCGGCTTATATCGCTGAGCATGATCCCTTCCAGCGCCATCCATGTTGCTGCAAATTGCATGTGTTTATCTTTTTTGAATGCTGAGTAACATTCCATGGTGTATATGTACCACATCTTCTTGATCCAGTCATCTATTTTTGGGCATTTGGGTTGTTTCCAAAGCTTAGCTATTGTAAATAGTGCTGCTATAAACATAGGGGTGCAGGTGCCCTTTGGAATTGATGTTTCTGTGTCCTTTGGGTAAATACCTAGGAGTGGAATTGCTGGATCATATGGAAGCTCTATGTTTAGTAGGTCCAGAAATCTCCACAGAGCTCTCCATAGTGGTTGGACCAGTTTGCATTCCCACCAGCAGTGCAGGAGAGTTCCTTTTTCTCCACAACCTCGCCAACATTTGTTGTTGCTAGTTTTTTTAATATATGCCTTTCTCACTGGTGTGAGATGGTATCTTACTGTAGTTTTGATTTGCATTTCCCTGATTATAAGTGATGTTGAACATTTTTTCATATGCCTGTTGGCCATTTGCATTTCCTCTTCAGAGAAGTTTCTTTTTAGCTCTTCTGCCCATTTTTTGACTGGATTATTTTCTTTGTTTTTGTTGAGTCTCATGAGCTCTTTGTAGATTTTTGTGATCAATCCTTTATCATTAGTATTGTGTGCAAAAATGTTCTCCCACTCAGTGGGGTTTCTCTTTGTTTTTGTTATTGTCTCTTTTGCTGTGCAGAAGCTCTTTAATTTGATGTAGTCCCAGCTGTTTATCTTTGTCTTCACTATCACTGCTTTGGGTGATGTGTCTGTAAAGATGCCTTTGATGTGCATATCATGTAGTGTTTCACCTATATTTCCTTCTATATATTTTATGGTTTCAGGTCTTATGTCCTCCTTTTCCTTAATCTTTTCCTCTTTAGTGATGTGTTATATTGTTAAGTTCATTACTTCATTCTAGTTCATTTTTTAAATTTATGTTCTATTTCTAGTTCTTTTGAGGATTCAATCCCCTCTTTTCAGGGTTCTTCTAATTGTGATCTGTATTGTTCCTTCATGGCTTTATCACTTTATTAATTTTTTAGGTTAATTTAAAATATACTGATACAGTTTATCCCTTTGGTGAGGATGTCTTTCTGGCATAATTTTAGTGTAGGAATTTCATTTTACATCTTTTTTCTTTTTCTTACTATATTTTGTATGACATTCAAACATGATCCATTCCTCTTGCTTGTTTTAATATGAAATTGGCATTTCTGAACTTTCAGTAAGCAATAGAGCATCTTCAAGGGTCAGATGCTCCCTTTTCTGTTGCTGTCATTAGTAAAAAATTGTTGTTTCATACTTTCTGAGTTATGCTTCCCTACCCCCATTTTTTCCTGGACTTTGGTTTTTCTTTGCACCTGTGATCTTTCTCTTCTCAGTTTGGATTATACTTTTAGCAATTTCTCTTCATCATAGCACTTTTTCTTGGAAGGGAGCTCTAATTACTTCCAGTTTCTTGAAAATTCATAGACTTGTCTAACTTTTCAGAATCCTGGCCATTCCTTGTGAATTTGAGTGTGTAAAAATCCTTCTCAGTTTCACCTGCTGTTCTGGAAATGGTCTGCTCAGCTTTTCAGTGAGTGCCTACTGGCTCTTTGGAGAACTGTCCTAAGGACTCAGCAGTCAGATGACGTTTGGTAGAAAATGGGGAAAGGGACTATGGAGACAGGTAACAGTATTGCAATTTTAGATAGTATGATTAAGTGTTATCTCACTAAAAAGATGAGTAGGTGATTTTACAAAGACTTTAATTTTCCCTGAGTGGAGGGCATGGGAATTTCTGATGGAGGACATACTAGGCAGAAGTTACAGCTAATCCAGAATGAGTCCAGCTAGTCTAGCAGTGTGGCTGGAAGAGGGAGTGAGGCAGGAAGAGGGGAATCAGGCAAAGGATAAGAGCAATGTCTTGTAAGGATCTTAAATCATGTGAAATGTGTGTAAAAGAAGATAGGAGTCAAAAATCACAATTATATGCCATGCCATAATTTTTTTTATTTAGTGATATATTTTGTAAGAAAAAAAATGTGTGGTAACTAGTGCATAGGAAGTGGTCCAAAACAACTAGTCCATGCCATTTCCTAGAATTGTTGATAGCATTAAAAGCAAAGGCAATGGAAATAGAAAAATATTATGCAACTATTATTTCAGGAAGCTCACTACCAAATAAGTAAAGAAGTGAATAAAGATTAGAAATTATAGCTGGAGGAATACAAGAGAAAACAAAGGTACAGATACATGGTTCTGAAGAAATTGACTCATAGTATACACAAAACAGACATTTGATAGGGATTAAAACAAGAGGCAACTTTAGAATTTTTCTTCTTTTTTTTTCCTCCCCTTTCTCAGCTTCATGGTTTAGAATTTGGCTTAAAACAAATGAGCAAACGGGCCTCCCCGGTGGCGCAGCGGTTGAGCGCTGGGTTGCGATGCTGCCCGCAGCCTCTGCAGTGCCGGTTCGATCCCCGGCTGCTCCCCGGCCACCGGAGGAGGGTCCCACATGGCGCGCTAGACCTCTCCTGCCGCCCGCTGCTCCCCTCAGCAGTGTACTTCTGTCCTTCTGCCTGTTCTGCATCCTGCTCTGACTCTGGTGAATTCTCTCACCCTCCCGTGCTTCTGACTATACCCAGTGCTTGTATAAATAAATAAATCTTAAAAAAAAAAATTTAAAAAAAAAATGAGCAAACAAACAAAATTTTGCCAAGATGAAATTTCAGGTGTTCAGATTTCATTGACAAGGTCAGCAAGTCTTCACAACCACCAACATGTGCATAAGAACAAAGATTCTAGGTACTCTGGCCTTGACTATGAATAAATAATTCTTATACCTTCCTTAGAAAAATTAGCCAAATCAGAACAAATGAAATTAAGGAGCTAGGGAAATATCAGTGGACACACTTATTAAATATAAGTACTATGCCAGTGAAATGATATTCTAAGTTTTATCTCTCACCAAATCCAGCTAATTTTATTGGTGATATTAAAATGAAATCTTATGCTTTTTATAATATGAAAACATATATTAGGTCTAGTAAATTATTTCAGTCTAGTTGCTTGACACATCCCTGGAATGCAGCAATTGTATGCAATGCACAAGGCCTGGAATGCCAGTGAGAACTGACTGACAATGTGCATAGCCTCTGTGGAGATAACAGCTGTTGTGAAACAGCTCCATCTGCACTATTCATCTTTTTTAACTAATGATTTCTGATCCTCTTGGTAGGTGTATTAAACTTTCCAAATGCATTTAACCTTTAGACTGATCAATTCCCAGAGTTCAAAACACCTTTTTTTTTTTTTTTTTTTTAAGCTTGTAGCTAAGGTGTGCATCAAGAAAATTTAATGGTAATAGAACCCAGGGATCTGCATGCCTATCCCATACTCTTTTATTTCCCAATTTGAAGAGAAACCGTATAGAAAGCCATTGAACTATGTTTGGAGACTGTAGGGGCAGGAATGGACACAGTGCAGGTTTTCTAATCCAGCAGACCGGGGTAAAGGAGGAGAGTCTGGAGCCCTCATTGGCTTTTGCAGGCTTTTATTGGGATTTACCAGGTACATGGCAGGTAGGGGTGCTGGGGGGCTGGGATGCCTGCAGGCATCCCATATGTTAATTATGTTATTTACATATGCCTGCAGGCATCTCAGCCCCCAGCAAGTCTTCACTCTTTCTGGGCTCTCCAGTGTTCTCTCATGTTCTCTCTGCTTCTCTGCTCTCCTACTTCTACTGCTTCTCCTTCTCTGCTTCTGCTGGAGTCCCTGTGATGCTGCCCTTAAAAGCCCAGTCTTAGCCCAGGTGAATCCCATCTACATATGCCCATACCCTA